AAGAAGAAGAAAAAGAAGAAGAAGAAGAAGAAGAAGAAGAAGAAGAAGAAGAAGAAGAAGAAGAAGAAGAAGAAGAAGAAGAAGAAGAGGCAAAATGAGCAGATCTGGGGGAACAAATGTGAAGAGAAGAAAAGAAGAAGAAGAAAAAGAGAAAAGGAAGGAGAGAACGAGAGGAGAGAGGCGAGGAACTAAAGGGAGGGGAGAGAAAGGGAGAGGGGAGAGATAGAGTGAATATTGGTAAGTGGGGTATTTTGGGTAGTTAGTGTATAAAAAATTGAAATGGGAAGATTATTTCCGGACGGAGAAAAAGAGGAAATGGGAAGATTATTTCCGGATGGAGGGAGTATTTAAAATAAAATTTTACATGAAGATTGATAAAATTTCTTTCATAAAAAGAAATTGTAACAAAGTCACAATTTCAATGGAATAAGATGGTTTAGTTTGTGTTCTAAAAAGAGGTCATTTGCAAACATGTCAGCAATACTACATACCAACTGCAAGAGAATTGGCTCGTTTAGCAGGAATAGAAAGAGCTCCTATTCTTCACCACTTTGCAGAATCACTCTCAGGAGCAGCAACAATTCGTGCATTCGGCCAAAATAAACGTTTTTTTGATGCTAACCTGTGTCTCATCGACAACCATTCAAGGCCATGGTTTCACAATGTGTCAGCTATGGAATGGCTTTCTTTCAGACTGAATCAGCTTTCTAATTTTGTCTTTGCTTTCTCTCTGGTTTTGCTCGTTACACTTCCTGAAGGATTCATAGACCCAAGTAAGTATGCAAATACTCACCTTTTGGTTTGATTGTTTACCCTGCATTGTACACATGACAGACTGAACTGCATTTCATGGCCTAAAAATGTGAACATGTGAAAAGCACAAGTGAGAATATATATATTTATGATATATATGCTTATGTAGAACCTCAACCGCAATCAAATTTCCTAAAACCAATTGGTGTTAGGAAAGACACATACCTTAGCCCTACAATGCATTCAGCAAACACGAGCCCATGATATTCAAAATTTCAAATGTGACTTGACCCACCTAGCCTCCACCACGAGATAATTGATGCACATGTCCAACAGCTTATGTCACATTATTGGCTTTGTTTAATACTGTGTGTGTGTGTGTGTGTGTGTGTATATATATATATATATAGTAACCAAAGAAAACTACATCAAAGTTGTAACATGTTTATTATAGAAAATGGTCATAAAACTCATCACATGCCAATATGATCAACAGGCATTGCAGGACTGGCAGTAACATATGGCATAAACTTGAATGTGTTGCAAGCGACAGTTATATGGAACATTTGCAATGCAGAAAATAAAATGATATCAGTAGAAAGGATTCTACAGTACTCTAATCTAGCCAGTGAGGCGCCTATGATAATTGAAGATTGCAGACCTCCGGACAACTGGCCAGAAACTGGATCAATTTTATTCAAGAATTTGCAGGTAAAATGAGGAAAAGTGGAAAATCATTCCCCTAGCCTTCACAAAAATTAAATTTTTAATACCTATAATTTAAAATTACACTTATCCCTTTTTGGCAGATACGCTATGCCGAACATCTCCCTTCTGTGTTGAAGCACATTACCTGCAACTTTCCAGGGAGAAAGAAAATTGGTGTTGTTGGAAGGACTGGAAGTGGAAAATCAACCCTGATTCAGGCCATTTTTAGGATTGTTGAGCCCAGAGAGGGAAGCATTATCATTGATGATGTGGATATATGCAAGATAGGCCTTCACGACTTGAGATCAAGACTTAGCATTATTCCCCAAGATCCGACACTTTTTGAGGGAACCGTTAGAGGAAACCTAGATCCCATAGAAAAATATTCCGATACTCAAATCTGGGAGGTAATTGTTCAAACATTCCATGGTACCCATTGTCAAATGGGGAAAGAATTCCCCTCGTATTATAAGCAATAATAGAAAAGCATAACCTCACAAGAACTCACAATATTTTTAAAGTGGTTTGATTTCTCAAAAAAAACTGCATCCACCACAACTCACTATTTATATTTGAAGTACACATAATAGAATTTTAAATGGACAAATTGTAAAATACTCCGGCGAAGTACTTGGAACTTTCAACTAATTCTAAAACACACGTAATTTTGGAGCACTCCCTCAACAACTTACTTACAAAAATTGGTGTGGAGTTCTTCCCTCAAACACACAGTTTTCTCTCATTTTCTTTCTCTGACATGAAGAAAAGCACACCCAGAGATTGAAGAGCTCATATCCTTTTATAGCCAAATTATTGTCTTAAAATATGCACACAATTCTTTGTCATTCTAGAGTAATTATTGGAATCACCCTGGTGCTATGTGCTAACATTCTATTAATTAAATAGTGAGCATAGCATGTTAGTCAGTGAGCATAGACATTCTAATAGTGAGCATAGCATGTCAGTCAGTGAGCAAAGACACCAAGTTGTTAACACCCATGCGGTTCCTAATATTCTTTTGTCATTCTAAATTGCAACAAAGTTTGTTTTGGCTTCTTTCATATGCCGCAAATTTTGACAATCATTTGCACATAATTTTTCCATTTCTCTGTTAGTCATTAAGATTAGGAATGTGAGACTTTGTTTGCATCCAACAGAAAACAGACACATACATGATCATTGCTTCTACTTACAACGTTTGCAGAAGCATGATGAAAACACTGCCGCTGTTATGCTCCTAAAGTAATTAATGGGATTTAATGCAAATAAAAACTTGGCATATATGTGTGGGTGAAACTAACTGGTCATGATCCTAAATGCCTGCCATTTTTGAGCCACATTTGCATAACATATTTCAACAAGTAGTTCCAGTAACCATGCATCTTAAATAATGCAGGCTCTGGACAAATGTCAACTTGGTGATATCATTCGGGCAAAGACTGATAAGCTGGAATCTACAGGTTTGGGTTCATGAATCCTGATGCCTCCGCCACTAGTGGAAGGCAAACAAATGCTAAAAAAAAGTGATATTACTATGTTTGGTTTACCTTCGAGAATGCAAAAAACAACAAATATGATTCACCTTTTTTATAAAAGTTAACATTTTTTTTTATTTTCATAGTCTTTATATAGTAGTATTAGATAAACAAACCAAATAAATTTGTACTAAACTACTAATATCTAAATCAATTTTTTTTGCTTGTCGAAATTGGGCTATTGACATGGATTCTGACAGTGGTTGAAAATGGAGAGAATTGGAGTGTGGGACAAAGGCAACTTCTCTGTCTAGGAAGAGCCTTGTTGAAGAAGAGCAGCATCCTAGTTCTGGATGAAGCAACGGCATCGGTTGATGCTGCAACCGATGCATTGATCCAGAATGTTATCAGTCAAGAGTTCAGAGATCAGACAGTGGTCACTATAGCCCACAGGATCCACACGGTCATCGATAGTGACCTTGTCCTGGTCCTAAGTGAAGGTAAAACTGAAGGCTCCCTATACCTACATAATAAAGAGTGAAAGAATTTAAGATTCACACGGGTCACAAATCAACCGGGTCATTTGGTCAAACCATGCTAAAAGATTGTTGATTAGTTAGATCAACTCATATATATTGGATTAACCCATCATTGTTTTCCTTCAACAGGTAGAGTAGCAGAGTTTGACTCACCAGCAAAGCTATTGGAAAGGGAAGACTCTTTCTTCTCAAAGCTGATAAAGGAGTACTCCGTAAGATCGAAAACTTTAACAACTCAGCCATGTTAGGAAGTTCGATTCGACTTTGCATCAAATAAAGTAGTGTACATTGTTGTGCTGCTGTGTGACCTCGAGGTCACGAGTTCAATTTCTTGGAGAATGTATATCCTTTAATATCAACTCAACAATCCAAATATTTTGTGTCCATAACATTCAAACACTATGAACCAATTGATGCCCTTATAAGTTCAGTGGCATTGAATCTGAACAACATTGAGCCCTCAAGCACAAATGCAGGATGGGTGGCCAAATTAGTATTCCAATTTTACAAATTCAACTTTCTTTTTTTAGATATAATTCTCCGAGAGGATATTATTCTAATTACGTAATGGTTTGTTTCACATCATCTCCTTTTCTTCAACATGGAATTCAAACACATCTGAATTCAACAAAGGAACAGTAAATAAAACGGGATGAAACTGCATTTTGAGCAAGGGTAAATATACCTTCCTCTGTAATAATCCGGATAGTCCTTGATCATTTTCCACGGCTGAAATCACTGTCGGAAGGAAACGCCGGCGAGTTCCTTCTCTTTGCCGGTAGAGGAGATCTCTGTACATGGGTTGGGCTTTTAGCTTAATTAACTTCCAACTCCTTTTTTATTGGACTTTCAATAGGACCCAGATACTTATTCTTATTCTATTGGATATTAGATGAGATTATTTAAAATAATCCAATAATAATGACACTAGGAGATAATATCATATTATCGTACATGCCATTTTTTAAAAATAAGTCTATTACTCCCTCCGTGTTTGTCCACTTTCATTTTTGCACACCATCCAATGCACTTTTTTAATCCATTTTATCTTGTAATTTATATATTAAAAAATTATAAAAATTATATATTAATAATCTATATGTTAAGACGAATCAAACAAGATCACACATGACTATTTTTAGGCTTACACATTGAGAGAATTTGATAAGTCAAAGTGCTTAGATGAACAGTTCCAAAAGTCAAAAGTGGACAAACACTTAGGGACGGACCAAGTATTATATAGCATACCTTCATACATTCTCAACCCATTAAGTACGAAGAACTATTACATTCACTCGAGATCGAACTTATGATCTTCTATGTGAGAATTACTATCATGTCGATGGACGATAAAGTTTTTGGCTCGTACCGGCCAAATTGAAGTTCATATAATTGTATTAATCGATTTTACAAATGAAGTGCCGTAATTGCCTAGTGACATTATTTTATAATTTCAAATTAACATGATTCAAGTACTTTGTATCTATTTGCACTCTTATTTATTATTAGGATTTCAGGCCTGAGATGTACTGTTTACCTGATATCAAATTCATCTTGTAGATTTGCAAAATCTATCAAATTCATCTTATTTTCATAAAAGTGTAATTCACATCAACTATGTGTCCAATGACATATCCTGATTCCTGATGTTGGCTTAACAGACAATATACTAATTACAATGGTTATGGACTAGGATTGGATCAAAGATGAAATCAGTAGACTATGGTTATAGTAGACATCAACTCTAATTGACAAACGATGCATCAAAACCGACCTTAGGTATTGACTATGAAAGGAAAGCTACGTATTGTCATTATGAAATTACATTTTTAGCCTTTAATTTAACACGAACATGACAAAAGGTCAAAATTATATTAATAAAATTTATAAAAAGATATAAAAAAAAGTGATAACATAATTGTGTTATTTTAAGGGTAAAGTACTTACAAGATTCCTATATGTTTTTAAAAGTGTCTTCAAAATCTCTGAATTATTTTAAGTGCTTATTAGATCTCTATATATTTTTGAAAGTACTTCATACGTTTCTAAACTATTTTAAATGCTTATTAGATTTCTATATATTTTTGAAAGTACTTCATACATTTCTAAATTATTTTTAGTTCTTACTAGGTCCAAATACTTTCCAACGAATGTGTTACTAGTCCCTTTGATGGTATTTTTCAGATCTAGTGCGCGAAAATTGTTTAAGCAACACACACAAATTTTTCAAAAATTTATAATATAACGTCAAATCCTACAACAATTTCAGGAGACTTAGTACGAAAAAAGTCATCAAAGGGACCACTAACGAACTCGTTTAAAAAATAGGGACAGGATACACATTAAAAAATTTAGAGATCTCTGAAACTTTTTTTAAAAAATAAACTCCGGATTATTGTAAGTACTTAAAATAATTTAGGGACTAGGGAAGCAATTTCAAAAAAATATAGGAAGCTTGTAAGTAATTTACTGTTATTTTAACAAATGATAAATAAAAACTACTCCGTATATTATTTAAATTTACTATAAATAATTTAGCGTAAATTTAAAAATAAAATTATTTAAAAACTATATAAAAAGTTCAACAAAATAAAAGAAGGTGGTAAAATTATATTTAAAAAGTAAAAATAATTTCATCCGAATAATGAATGAGATACGGAGTAAAAAAAGGGAAAGAAACACTAAAAGAGAAAAGAGTATAAAAAAGAGTAGATTTGATCTGATCCTTTGAATGCAGTCACCGGAAGCAGCGAAATCGCCGGAATATGGTGGGCGCGATAAGAGCTGCGGCGAGCTTTCCAGTCACCGCGGAATCCCGCAGCAGAAGCTCAAGAGACGGCGGCGCGTCTTCTTCAAATGCTCAGAGAACGACGGTCCGAACTCCCCTTCTTTCGGCTTCTAAACGTTCGTGGGTCGTCAAAACTCAGGTGCGACCCCGACCCTAAGCTTCATCCCAAATCACATTTCTTTAATTAATTTTTTTCTTTACTTTTCCAATTAAATTTGAACTCTAATTATCTAATCTTCATAGGCTTTATATTACGAAATTATTCTGGATACATTTATTTTCACCTAAAAGTCCAAATATTAAATTTTCGTGTTATTACAACATCAACTCTTGAAAAAAAAATTAGCTTTAGACTTTCTCCTCTTAGAAAAATGTTCCTAATATGGTTTGATTCAAATTATGTTCAGTAATAAGAAATAAAATTTATTTACGAAATATTAAAATACATAAAAAAAATTACAAAACAAACAATCACATGTCAATTTATTTTTATCAAATGAATATAATCGAGTATGTTTGATCTTTGAAGTCAAGTTGGATTAAATGCTAAAGCTAAATGGGCACCTATTCTATTCAACTTACATACACTATTCACAGAGTCAATCTTTATTCACTTTGTTTGCTCATTTTTACTAGTCATTTCATAAAATAATATAATTTTGTCACCTTTAGTTTTGTAAAACTTTTCGTGTAATTAATTACTATATAAATTTTATTTTAAAATTTTACTCCTATAATTAATTAAATTGAATTGAAAATAAAGTCGATCAAGCCTCGTAACACGTAATGGGAAGATCTTTGGTGGACGGAGGGAGTATTTGTATTGGAATCTGGTCAGAAACAAATTTAAATATGGATAGAGTCTGACCAAATCAATTCAAGGTCCGTTTGGTACACAGAATTAACAAAATTAGAATTGAATTGGGATTTGAAATTCTATGGAATTGAGTTCTCCAATTTCAATTCATTTTTTACACTATCAAACAGCAGAATTAAAATTGTTGCTCACAATTCTAATTTCTTAGTTTGATTCCGTGTACCAAACGAAACTTCAAACTTTAATAAAATAAAAATCAAATCAAATCCGATGAGACAATGAGAACAAACTCTTAATGTATTATGTGCATATACTTGATTATTGATTGTAGTATAACGTTGGAAGAGAATGGAGAAACAAAGCAAATCCTCCTTGTGTCGTCTGTGTAGGGAGTGGCCGAGTGGACTGCGACCGCTGCAATGGAAGAGGTCGCTTTTCTGTCTGTCCTTCCGCTAATTCCTTCTCAATTTAAGTTGCATGTTTTTTCATCTATCTCGATTTGACTTGCATATTTATATATATAGAAATCGAAATATAGTTTGTACAAGTTTTCTTTCCTCCCTATACTTGTATACATATCAATGACACATTTTTCACTTTACTAAGGGGCTGTTTGTTTCAGCCTCTTAATGGTTCAGATGTCTGAATGGTTCAGCACTTAATGATTCAGACTGTTTGTTTCAGCCTCTTAATGGTTCAGATGTCTGAATGATTAAGAGATTTGCCTCTGGATGGTTAAGTATTATACAGAGTCTGAATGGTTAAGACCTCTTATCTGAATTGATCAGACATTTGCCTCTAAATAGTTAAGCAATATACTAGCTCTTAATGGTTCAGACCTCTTACTGGTTCAGCACTTAATGGTTCAGACCTCTTACTGGTTCAGCACTTATCCATTCAGAAGTTGCCAAACAGCCCCTAAGACTATGTTCCCACAAACTAGATAAGCTAATTTTTACGTACTTTATATTTTGCAGGGAGGACAAACCATGTGGAGCTAGAAATGCTTCCCAAAGGACATTGGCCAAAATGGTGAGTCTTAGCATGCATATTTATTGGTGTGTGCCAAAGTGATTCTTGGGGGGGGGGGGGCATTTGGTGTGAATAACTATAGGTGTTTGGTTGTTTGAGTGTTTGAAAAGCATAAATCAAACCCTCAAACATTCCAAACCGTTTGCATTCAAAGCAAACGACGAAAGCCATTTTTAAAATTGGTCCCAAACACCCCTCTAACTCCACGCTGTATTGTCGCAGGTGCAGGTGTTGTGGTGGAAGTGGGCTGAGCAACTGCTCCCGCTGCCTCGGGACCGGGGAGTATCGTCATATAATGGGATTTGACTTCATGTTTAGCCAGTCTACCAACGGTGGTGACGGTTAATTTGTTACATTGTACTTTGTTACTCTTACATAAACTTTAACATTGTACTTTGTCTGTAACAATGAAAGAGAAGTGTTGAAGTTATGCATGTCTAGTGTCATATAAACTGTGATAAAGACTATTTTTCTTGTCTTCAAAGCATGAACCCCTAGCTGAAGGAACTGGCAATTAGGGAGTGTTTGCTCAAAATATATATTACCTATCTGGTCTCACACAAGAGAATAGTTCTCCATTCATTAGAGAAGCAAAATCTCAACTTGGGGAAAAAAAGATTTGGGAAAAGGCACTTTACAAACAGGACCTTAGGATTCAACTCCATAGGGGAGCAGTGCAGCAGCAACTATCCTTCCTTCTTCGTTTAGAATGTTGTATGTAGATGCTGCATTTCTCTGCAACAAAAGAAAGACGATGACAATGGTGGGTGGGTGGGTGGGTGTGTGTGTGGGGGGGGGGTGTTTTCGCTTACGTTTTACAAATTTGCCAAACGAATTGTGAACATAAAATATAGCCTTAATTTAATGCTTACCGAGTCAACCGCCTCTAATTTCATTCCAGTGGATCGGATAAATTGTCGAACCTCAGGGTTGACTTGTTGAATGTGCCTACCGCAACCAATAATGAGGATCTCTGTATAGAGAGGATTTTATGGTTAAATACATGAAACAACCCGAGATTCGGTCAGATCACAGTAGTCCATGAAGTTCATGTGACTTACAAATAAACCCTATGAGCAGTCAAATTGTCATAAAAATGCCACCCTTGACACCAAAATATGATAGAATGTTGATGATTTGATGATATCAGAAGGAATGCAGTCTATTGGACTGAATTTTGTATTTTTAGAATGTTTGAGGTTGTTTCTAAGTAGAAAAAAACTACATTTGGGATTGATGTTGAGAGTAATTTAGTAAAAAAAACTCGTATTCATATATCATAATATTCCATCATCTCTGGATTTCAATCATGGAAAATCTGGCTTAACAACGGTTGTATTTCTAATTTTAAGACACCTAATGGATAATTTGGTAATTTGACCAAATCTTGCAGAGGTAGAAATGATTGCATGGGCTGATGATTCTATAGCAACAAGACAAGTTATGACTTGTGACAATAATGATAAATCAGTTCATGTGTCCATACAAAGTGAGTGAAATAAAATTCCTAACTCGTTATCTCACTTAGAAATGAATGAGATAAACTATAACTAAAATTTCTGTAATGTTGACCCAGAAGACAAGAAAAGTAAGAAAAATGCATACAACAACAACAACAACAAACACAGTAGGGCTTGGGGAGGGTGTGTGTACAGACACACACCCTATCCAGAAAAAAAGACTGTTTCCAAGATACCCTGACTCAAACATAGAAGCACGCTCAAACACATAAGCACCACCAAATTAAAGGATGCATATACAATGCCAATCATACCATTATATAATACGAAAAAGTATTGTGAAATGACCATATACAGTGCATATTGTCACACTGCAAACTCTTATTTTGGGGATGATACACAGAGCTCTTATTTTGGTACTTTCTCTATGTTTGACTCGTATTTAGAGTGATTTCTTAAAATTAAACACAATAGCACGAACAGAGTACAAACATAGAGACCAGAGGCGCACAAAACGACGCTTGCAGTTAGACCCAAAATAAAAGAAAGCGCACATGCTCGAGCTATAGACTAAGGTAAAAACGCACCAGCAAGGCATAGAACTTGGCTAAGAGACATGATGCTCACCTGGCACTGGACTAACAGTTTGGAAGATGGATAAGCTGCACCAAGGCATATTAAAGATCAGATATAACTAGAAAAGCAGCAAGGTAAAATGTAAAAATATGGGCACTAACAGTTTGTATACTTGCATTCCAATTCATTTGAATTTACCATGTTCTATCAAAAGCCTAAGTAGATTTCCATTCCCCTGTGGAGCCAAAGATTCACTATTTTTTGGCTTTGGGGTATGATAGAATAAAGCAAATTAGCTCTCTAAACTGTCTGCGCTTGTAATTGTGAATGTGACTTTTGACATTCATCATTGGTCATCTAGAAACAACCGTTCTATGTTTTAAACAAAGGGTCAGACTGCGTACAACCGACCCCCCTTACCCCGCAATGGGCGGGAGCCGTTGACGCACTGGGGTAATGTTGTTGTTGTTGTTGTTGTATCAAAAGCCTAAGTAGATAACCGAAGTAAACAATTTGTGAGATCTGAAATCGGCATTCTTGATTCCATTGGAAGTTATCTTTGCATATCTCAGAAACACCAAAGAATGAACAAAGACAAATAGCTTGCTAACTATGAACACCTTATTATTGATGAACCCATAAACATTACACAGATGAATAAGGTGAGTAATTACAAGATGAGAGTATACCTCTCTGGTGTAACTTCAGAAAATTTCTTTGGAGCCCAAGACATTAGCAAGTTCCCAACACAAAGCAGACTACCATCATAGTGCACCCCATTAACTTTGAATCCAGTGTCTGTGAACCTACATAGATCATTAATCTCAAGAAACCAGGAAGCTTCTTAAACTAATCTGAACAATTAGGTATTCCAATTCTAACATAAACTACTCGCTGCAATTTAAAACAATTTGTTGAAAATATAAGTATAAGACTGGAAGAAGAAAAAAGGGTAAATCGGGAAAGGGAAAAGAGGGAAAATACTGCTGGAAACGAAGCTGATCTTCGGGGACGCTGTCGATGAGGTTGATTTGGTCGTAGAGAGAGAAAGCTCGCCGGAGCGACGGCAAGGGCTGGGCCGGGTGCGAATTGTTGTGCTTTGGGTATTCCTTCCGCAAAGCTCGCATCAACGACGGAATCGCCGACACGGCTTTCGGTCTCACCGCCGTCATTCCAGAAGAAGATCCTTCGTCGGGGAGCGGGGGAGGTTACAATCTTGCCCAGGTACTCACGTCCGATTTACAGCTTTGATTTTGGGATGAAGAAGAACGCTAATGATTTCGTCCCAAAAATAATTTTGCACTTTTAATACACTTTTTTTTATTTTAAGTCGCTTTAAAATATACTCCTTATTGAATTATAAATAATTTTAGAAATATTTGTACTAAATAGCACTAAAATTTAAGCCATTTTCCTGAAAAGCACTTAAATTATTTTATTCCCTAAATAGTATTTCATAATGTCCAGTGATGACCAATATTTATTTGAGTCTTGAATAATGACTAATGGACAATGACTAAAAGTGCTAGATTGAGAAAAAAACTCATGTGATGCTATTTAGAAAAAGTTATTATGTTTTAGTGTTATTTAGATAAATTTCCCATAATTTTAATCAATACAAAAACATCTTTTTATGCGACAAACATAACAATTTATTCTTTGATTATATTTTTCATGCCAATTTAACAATTTTAATCATTAATCTCTTTATTTATATTTGAAATGAATCTAATGTTGTTAACTTTATATTACAATTAGAAACTGTATCGACACGATGAGTGGCCACATATTTAATATCTAAAACGATTGCACATGTGAATATTTAGTAAAATTGTAAAAATAATAAGAATACAATAGAATAATAGTCTGTATTAAATTGTAAATTTGAATATAGATTATACTTGCAGTAAATTAATAAATTATTGAGTGAAAAACATGTTACTTTTGAATATCAATAATTTTTGAGCAATGCCAGGGGTACACCAAAGTTGTACCCCAAATGTACACCACTCCCTTTTCTACCATCCATTTTTATTTGATTTTTATTTTTTTTTAATTTTTTACCAATTTATGTGGACAAGAAGGGGGTGGGGACATACGAGGTACACCAAAGATATACCCTTAGCATTTTTCATAATTTTTGGAAAGCAATATGAGCTTGTTGAAGCACAGCTTACGTCTACATATTTCATCTCCTCTTTCAACGATAGCATTAGCTCACATTGAAGCATCCCATTCTATCTACATGACTCATCAATTTGAAGGATGTTAGACACATCCGTGGTGCTAGACACATGTTCCTCTCTCCCATAATGTTAGTCAATGTTACTATTATCCAACCTTCTCGATAACTTTTATTTATTTATATAATTGTATTGATCATTTAATACAATAAAAAAATTTTTACATTTTTTTGTAAAATTTTTTATGTATTTTTGAAAATTATTATTTAAAATTCTTGTTTGTATACATTTTGTACTTAAAATCTGTTGATTTAGTAATCCAACTCAACTGAATAATTGTATACATGAGTGTTTATATAGGTGAGAATCCCTACATGAATTAGGATTCACCAAACATGGAAACTAACATAAATAACAATTCTACCATAACTACACTTCTTGTCATATATGTCTAACATCCCCCCTCAAGCTGAACGTCGTGAAACGAGAGGAAGCTTGGCAACCAGTGTGGAGTAGCGTGGTGAAGAGAGAGCCTTTGTGAGAAGATCTGCTAACTGTTCACTGGAAGGAACATAGGAGACAGTCATTTTTTCGGCAATTACCTGCTCGCGTACAAAGTGACAGTCGGTGCCGACATGCTTCATGCGTTTATGGAACACTGGATTCTTGGTTAGGCAGATGGTGGATTGGTTGCCGCAGAGTAGGTGTGGAGGAGGTAGCTTAATCTGCAAAATATCAAACAAATAGGTGATCCACATCACCTCTGCTGCTGCGGCCGAGAGGGCCCTGTACTCGGCCTCGGTGGATGAGCGAGAGACACGACTCTGTTTTTCCGTACTCCAAGAGATTAAATTATGCCCAAGATATATCAAATAACATGTAACAGACCGTCCATCTGTCATATCATTGGCCCAGTCCGAATCAGAGTATGCATGGATGGTTTGTGGGCCACGCCGAAATATTAACCCATGGTCAATGGTCCCCTTGACATAGCAGAGGATGCGTTTCAACGATTGAAAGTCCTGCTCTGTAGGTGCATGCATCCTTTGACAAACATAGTTGACAGCAAACTGAATATCCGGGCGTGTATTTGTCAAATATTGAAGAGATCCAACCAAGCTACGGAAAAAAGTGGGATTCTCAAATGGGCGGTTTTCCCCCTCCTCGGACTGCCGTACGGGTAGGGGTGTGGGTGCCAGTTTGCAGTCTTCAACTCCCGCCTTGTGAAGGAGTTCACGCGCATATTTTTCCTGTGATAGAAGCAGCTGGCCCTGTTTGCGTGTCACCTCAAGCCCAAGAAAATAATGGAGAGGCCCAAGATTCTTCATCTGAAATTCCGTTTGCATGGCCTGAATAAATGAGGAAATAAGAGAAGAGGCACTCCCAGTGACAATAATATCATCAACATAAAGTAGAACAATGAGGATGCCGGAGGGAGAGTGCTTCACAAAGAAGCTTGTGTCATGTTCATTTTTTCCAAAACCATAGTCAACAAGGAACCCAGAGAGGCGTTGGTACCAAGCCCGTGGCGCCTGCTTCAATCCATAAAGAGATTTCCTCAGTTTGCACACATAATGAGGATACTGCTGATCGATGTACCCCGGGGGCTGCTTCATATAGATTTCATCGGGAATGACACCATGAAGAAAAGCATTGGAGACATCCAATTGGTGAAGGGGCCAGTTCTGACTGACGGCTAGTGAGAGAACCACTCTAATGGTCTGCTGTTTGACCACAGGGCTAAAGGTCTCAGAGTAGTCCAAACCATATTCCTGTGTATAACCTTTGGCCACAAGACGGGCCTTGTACCTGGAAACAGAACCATCAACATTATGCTTAATTTTATAAATCCACTTACATCCAATAAGAAACCGGTCTGGAGGTGCCGGAACAAGCTCCCATGTGTGTTGATCAAGCAGGGCTTTATATTCGTCATCCATAGCTTGGCACCAATAATTGTTTTGGGAGGCTTCTTTATAGGTAACAGGCTCGGTAGTAGGTGGG